GGAAAACCAAAAGAAAAGCAAGTTTCCGTGCAGCCTGCAGTGTGCCAGGGTCAGGGTGCTAGGGTGGATGATTTCAGAGCCAGAGACGGTCAGTCCAAAGTCACTTCATCTCCTCAGGGGATACCAAAAGTGGAATATGTGAAAGGGAGGACTGAGAACTCTGGCACAGGCCTGAATTCAATCAAGAGCATCTATAGTGCAGATGACCTTAGGCAATTAGATCTGCAAAATGTGAGACCATCTGCTGGAGGCTCTTCTTCATTGAGGTCCCCCTCAGTTCAGCAGGAGCAGCTGGAAGGACAGGAGATCCAGCGCACTTTCATCGAGGTGAAGCTTTCCTCCTCTTCCTCTTCCTCCTCCTCCTCTGCCTCATCCTCACCAGCATCATTTTTGCAGCTGCCATTGCTGGAGAAAACAGAAGAGACAAACACAGAAGTGTCTCAGCTGACTGAGGAGATGGGGACCGTGCAGTATTTCTCAAAAGTGGATACCGCCGGAGACAGAAATCTCTGTTGCTTGTCGAAACCTGTGACAAGAACTTACTCGATGCCGGCCCAGTTGTCTGGTCACTTGAGGGAGGACTGCCATGTTGCAGAGGTTCATCCCATGCAAGGCCCCCAGGGCCACGCTGCAGAGGAGAAATACCCCCAAGTGGCGACGGGGATGTTAAAGATGGTCCATCTTAACCTGCCAAATGGCCATAGTGGGAAGGAGCAGGCATACACCTCTAAAAGCACCCAGAGGCTCCATGACACGTCCCCCTCAGCCAGTGGCATTAGCTGCCCTGCTACTGACAAGCTGAGGAGCTTCAGGAGAAATTACTACTACTATGAACTGAACTGGCCGCATGAACCTACCTCATCCTTCTCTGTCAAACAGAGGATCAAGTCCTTTGAAAACCTGGCAAATTTCGACCGGCCCATCGTCAAGGCCATCGATATACACTCGGCCGCGAGGTCGCCCCTCACCAGAAGGTCGTGCGGTGGGATGGCCACCGCAGCCAGCCCCGCTGAGACGCCG